TTTATTGTTCATTAATCCTGCATAGTGTATTTGCTGTCGATAGCGCCAACACTTTCATAAATTACACATGTGTTTACAAATATTTTCATGATTCAGTATACACCAAATGTAATTTTAGGTTTTTATGCATTTCTAATAGAACTCATATGGTGATTGAAATTAATTTGACCTGTTCTAGTAAAATCCTAGTGTACAAATGTTCGAATTTATTAGGCATTTAATCTTGTTTCTAGAAAAGTCATTGAATGTGAATAAGTCCTCCACTTCTCAATGCCATGTTCAATTTCTTATTACTGGTACATGTCAAATCATTCAATATTATTTTTTTTAATTTGACCAAGTTGAAATTTTCAGACATTGAAGTTACTGCTGCCTTGCCTTATGTTTTGGTTTTAATTGCGAGTGCACATGCGAACCAACCTCCCGTACATGATACCGACCGTTTGAAGGGAAATCAGACTGTACTCTAATTTATACTACAATCTATTTACATTGGCTTTTTTCCTTATTGATGATTAAATGCGAGGCCATTATTTAGCAATGCGATTTGATTATGATGAATTTTTCTTTGGCCAACATGTTTTGTAGAAACTGATATTTCACTTCTAACACAAAATAGTACAACATGCTTGTATATACTGCCTTCATTTACTGATTATATTAATGTATGATTAAAAACTTTCATAAACAATATTGTCATGATTTTATGTATATGTGAGGAATGTATGTAAAATTGTGTGGCTCAGTGTTCTCTGGTGAAGTAGTTACTTTCTTATTTCATAGGTTTTTTGTTCCTCTCCATAATGTAGTCTAGACAACTCACCTTTGCTTATTAATCATGTAAATATATTGTAATGTCACAAGAATGGAGTGTTTTCGTTTCCGTTGCAACTATTGGCTGACGCAGAGAACATACTGTCATCCATTGTTTGGAAAATTAGCATATTCAGATTAGCAGTGCGCTATATTTATCAACCAATCAACATCACTGTCATCCATTGTTTGGAAAATTAGCATATTCAGATTAGCAGTGCGCTATCTTTATCAGCCAATCAACATCACTGTCATCCATTGTTTAGAAAATTAGCATATTCAGATTAGCAGTGTGCTATATTTATCAGCCAATCAACATCACTGTCATCCATTGTTTGGAAAATTAGCATATTCAGATTAGCAGTGCGCTATATTTATCAACCAATCAACATCACTGTCATCCATTGTTTGGAAAATTAGCATATTCAGATTAGCAGTGCGCTATATTTATCAACCAATCAACATCACTGTCATCCATTGTTTGGAAAATTAGCATATTCAGATTAGCAGTGCGCTATATTTATCAACATCACTGTCATCCATTGTTTGGAAAATTAGCATATTCAGATTAGCAGTGCGCTATATTTATCAACCAATCAACATCACTGTCATCCATTGTTTGGAAAATTAGCATATTTAGATTAGCAGTGCGCTATCTTTATCAGCCAATCAACATCACTGTCATCCATTGTTTGGAAAATTAGCATATTCAGATTAGCAGTGCGCTATCTTTATCAGCCAATCAATGTCATTTTGAGACTCTAGGATGAAATAAGAGAAACGAAACCAGGCTACCAGTGCAGTGGCACAGTCTTGTGTTTTTATCTCAAAAAAGTGTCAAATGAATGCATGTAGATACAGGGTAATGTTTACCAGATTATTGAAGATACAGCAGACAATTTCCAAATTTGAGACCACTTTCTATAGCTTTTAATATGTTCAGGCCAATAAATAATACGTTTCTGGTAATGTAGATAGGCATTAGAAATACATGCAAGCAGTTTGAAAAAAAAAAGCTGAACAGAATTTTCTGAAATTTCCTACATGATCTTGTGCGTCAGACTTTCATAATTTTGATTGGTCAATTGGTTTGGCAGCAATCTTGGATTGACGTTTAATTGGAAGTGACAATTTAGCACACTTAGATGCTTAATTTGTTTTTGATATATGGGGCTACCTATTTCACAAATAAAACCTATCACAAGTCATGTAAATTATTATGCCATATTAAATACTCCGAAAAATTGCAAAAAAAAAAAAAAATCCATTGATTTGAAACTTAAAATCTATGCATAATGAAGTTAAAGTTTGTGATTCAAATTCAAATCAGTCATGGTTTGGCTGCAATCTTGTTCCAGCAAAAATTGCCACAATTATGGGAATTGTTTTTTTTTTGTAAGTGCTTAAACCAATTAATGTGATATTTTGCATGTATGGCCAAAGCTTGTTTCAAGAAAAAGAAAAATAATTGTGATCAGCCATGTGGCTCCTTCACCATCTTGAGTATACAAAATTTCAAACAAAATGAAAGGCTCTACAGATGAATCTGACCAGAACGCCTTCTGAGAAAAATAAAATAATTTACATTGGTCGCGTGTTCTGGCTACCATCACCAGGTTTCTACAAGCATGGGCAAAAGCTTAAAACGAGTGTGCTTCAGCCAACATGAAATTTGGCTTGTACGATGATCAGCTCTTACGGGGAAAAATGAAATAAATTGGTAATAACCAAAATAATGTGAAATAAAATGATGCACTATTTTCTTGGACATATTGGATATTTTATTCATCGCATTAACGTCCACAACACAAGATGACATGGCATTAAAATAGATCACTCTTGTGGATGAAACCACAATGATATTACAATTGCCATTAAATATTCAGTCAATTGATACTAATCCTTTCTAGTTAATTTGGTCTAGTTGGTTCCAAAACTGGATTATCTCTGCACCTTCAGAAAGGAAATGTTGAAAAAATGCCATCTAGGAATCAGTATGAGGATATTTCAGAAACAGCAGCATTGATGGCAACCAAGCAAGAGGCAAGAGCAGAATATATTTTTGCATTTAAACTATTACAAGTTCCAATAATAAGTTACAGCGAGACCATGGAGATTGACATTACAGCAGAGAGATCAACTGCAGTAGTCCTGTTGAAATTTTTAAACTGAGTGATTGTTTAGCATCCAGACAACAGGTAAATGTATTTAGTGAGAAAGTCTTTGCAATTAGACAAAGCCACCTGCTTGTGAAATCATTGTTCATTTTAAAACATTATATAAATGCAACCCATATACTAACTGTATCTGCTCTCTTAGCAGCACATGTTTAGGAAAATTACAAACATGTCTGATCAAAAAACGTTATATTTTAAAATAAGAAATGTATTGTGCTTCTATTGGAGTAAAGACATCAAGAATACGATAATTGTTGCAACCCATATATCAGTACCACGCAACATTTTAACAAGGAGAGAAGTTTGCAATCTGCAGGGGCGTATAGATTGAATGACGGCTTTATTTACAATGGTGGTGAAGAACCGAGTTTAGCAATATCAAAGCTGAAATCTGGCATTTCCAGTGGTGCTAAGGGAGGTGGTGCAGTCGGTGGAGTTGCATCCACTTCTGTTGAAATATGTGAAAATGGAGTATTCAGCCCTGATATGATGTCCCTGTGTAGTGCTGTCAAACCAACACTTTTAAGTTCATCCATCTGTCTTTTTAGACCTTGCACACTCTCTCGCAGTTCTTGATTTTCTTCCTCGCAAGACTCTAGTGCCCGAGTCAACTTGATAATATGATTTCGGTATTCCAGATTTTGCATCCGAAGCTCATGAACGTAATCATTAATATCATTGGGTAACTTTGCCCCATTGGTCGATACAGCAATTGTATCTGATGGTAGAACTTCAGCGGTTCGTGTTAAAGATTGTTTGGGGATTTCTTTAGTGGAAGCGGCCAGAATGAATGCAGTGCTTTCTTCGAAGTGTGGATTATGAGTAGAGTGTCCATTAAGAAACTGCAATAGCGAATCAGTCTCTTCATTACATCGATTGTATTTTATCATCGGTTCACTATTACCATTTAATATATTTGTATTCTCAGCATCCTCATTCCCAGACTCGAAATTTATTCTACTTCCATCCGGCGTGGCTTTCATTTCTTCCAATTTCATGGCTTTTATTTTCAGCATAAGTTCATGTCTTCGTTGTTTATCCATGATCACCTTGTGTTGTTTCTTATGGTTGGTATACTGCAACTCCAAAGACGTCAATGCTTGTTGTACGTCTGTCACTTTCATAGCCTTTTTGATGTACTCTGAAAATACAATATCTACAATTAGCAATGGAAGTTCAAATGGACGCTGAATGCCTCTGTAGACTGGATAGTGTGATCGAACAAAAGTGGTAAACTAATAAGCCAGCATTGAAAGTTCTTGACCATGTTGCTTCTCTGCAGTCAAAGTTGAAGAGGATACAGCTGATGGAACAGATAAAAAAAAAATTTTGAGTAAAAACTGAAAGTTGACTCAAATTTTATCTGTTGGCTCCAAAATTAGGATTCATTTCCAGAAATATTGAAGAATACAAGAAAAATGTGCAGACAAATTTTGGCAAGAAAGTCTGCTGAAAATGTTTTGATTGCTATGATAGCATGTAGTTACTTACCTGCAGCTCTTTCATGACAAGCAATGGCTTCTTGAAATCTGCCAACAGTCACATATCTGTCAGCCTTCCTGTCCTGCTGATGTGCCTGAAAACCACCAGTACTTCCGATTAGTATACATAATATGAATACCGTATTTGCTTTATTAGAAGTGCATCTCTAACAGAAGTAGTGCATATAAACTTCAAATTGCATTTCATGTAAACTGAATGAATAAAATACAACTTAATTAGAACATAAGAAATTTCTCTAATTTACAAAAGCACATGTGCTACAAATAGAGCACATATCTATGCATATATTTACATAAATGATACACTACATAGTATACTTTGAAGCACTGCTAGACTCAATCAGTGGTACCTCCATTTGAAACTGTATACATGTACTAACATTGTGTTGATTAAACAATCTTCTGAAGAACTCGAGAGGACTTTAACTGATTTTATCCAGACTTCACCATTGCCATGCATATTTATACTACTGTAGAATACTTTATTTTCGTTTGGAATTTATTTTCGCTATTTTCGCTGAAGGAATGATTCCGTGAAAATAAAATCCAGCGAATATACTTTTTTTCCTATATTTCACATTAAACTCATCAAAAATCAGTGAAAATAAATTCAATACAAAACGCCCAAAAAGCCTTTTCAGCGAAAATTAATTCCAGTGAAAAAGTATTCCACAGTATACAATTTGCATATTTTGCTAAAATGAAATATATAATTTATCAATAGCCAGCGTTGTTTTAATAACAGTTCAAATAGGATATTCCCATATACCAAACATATGCAGTTAAACGCCAGTTGTAATTGGGACTTTAAATTTGGCTCAAGGTTTTAAGGTTGAAGAGACGTCTTTATGCATTTAAAAACAAAATAATATTTTGCTTTCTTGCAACCTTTGGATTTTAATCTGTTGTTTACATGCACTAATGCACATATACACACACAGTTCAAGAGAGTTCACTGACCTGTTAGAGTCAGCTGATAACACAATGCCAGAGTCATTTAAATTTTAGAATGTCATGCAATAGAATATACTAACATGTGTTTTCATAAACTTCATACAAAAAGTAATAATTCTGTCTGTTCAATATTCCTGTGACCTATTTGGTTTATCAAAATTTTACAATGCAGATATAAATTTTAGGTCATTTATGGTTGATTAACTCATGGGTCAAGGTTGGCTCTATGCAATCTGGCAAACAAAATAAACAAACCTAGTGTCAGGCACAAGAACTGGTGTACACTGCACTGTAAATTAAGTCTTCTGGTACATGTAGTATCTATGTTTACAAATATATGCTCTACTAATAGTGTTAATGCATTGCAGTAATGAACAATTTTAACAACAAACAATGCTGTATTAGTTGGAGCGTGGAGTTAGCTCCATGGTTGGAGTGAAAATAAGCTGCCCATGACAAATCACTAATGAACTAAGCAAATGCGAGTGAAAACATGCATTTTTTACTTTTAATGCTGCTTGAATATTCTATACATCAATGTTTTTGTAATTATTATTGAGGACAGAAGGTACTCAGAATGCTTAAATATGCTCCAGTTGTCAGCAGTACACTGGGAAAGTTAAGGCTATTTTGTGTTAGTACTATGCATGTGGCCCAAGTTACAATGGTTAGATGAGAAGCATCCACCTACTAGTAGTAGCAGGGGTCAAAATACTCTGGTGCACACTGCGCTATGCACATAGATTATTAGCTAGTGCAAGTAAACTCCAAATATAATGTGCACGCTGTGCATGTAGAAATTAACACATTTTTTCATTATATTCACTAAGCCTAAATTAAGTTCAACCAATATTGTAAGATAACTAAAAAAAAAGCAAATTCTTTCATGATCACATAGATTGAGAACCCGTAAATGTTATTAATACTTTGAAATTGGTGCATTTCACAACAAGTTAGTGCAGGTAAATTTCAAATTCAACGTGCACACTGCGCATGCAGGGGAAAAATTCTATTTCAATCCCTGAGTAGGCATCGTAATTCCTATAGTTTTTCATATAATATTGCTACATACCAACAGAAAGATGCAATAAACTATATTATTATTATGTCTGCAATTGGGTGAAATACACTG